AAATTCATTTAGCGACGAAATAAAGAATTTATGACAAAATTAATCATCCACCTAAGCCAAATAAGAGACAAAAAAACCTTCTTTAGGGATGAAAAATTTTGTCAATAATTTCATAATATTTTTTTCCATATTATATACCTATTTTATCAAAATCTAAATTTTAGTTCAACAAATATGATCCTGTTCATGTTGAAACCTGTTGAATATAACAATTCCATCACAACTTAACCTAACCTGTTATCAACACATTTACGAATTAACAAAATGAAAATATCCATTCATCATTACAAATAATTTCATCCTGATATAATAAAATAGTGAAATATCCACAAAATATCCAAAAGTTATAACTTGTTCAATTCCACCAAAAATCCAACAATAACTAGTGTAACTCCAAAAAGTATGTGTATCCTTATCAAACAAAAATGAACATTCAAACAAATTACATCATTCCCCAATCTAATCTGCAAAAAAATAAATTAAAATTTTTAGTAATTAATCAATTATACAAAAGATTAAAAACATTAGTAACTCATCATTTTACAATTAGATCAATTATACAATTTATCCCTGTAACAGACTTTTTTTTAGATTATGAGAACAAAAAATTAATTTTAAGGCTAATTCACAAATGGTGCATCCCATTAATGTGCCGTAAGTTCATACAACTTATATTGGTCCCTCCTAAGGTGTTTCTATTGCTTCCTGTACAAATCTGTAGTTGTGTGATAATTTAGCATTTCGATGGCCTTTTTTTAAGCTTTAAGTATAGAGAAAAATATATATTTTTTAGACTAATTCACAATTTATACATCATGTGCACTTGTACAAATTGGATGTCATATGCATGTTTCCATTACTTCCTAATTCTTCAAACATTTATTCTTTTATAAAATTTGTTATATTAAAGTTAATATACTTTACCAAGAAGTATGTCCACTTGTGGATGCGTCCCCTCCACTTCCAAAGTGTCCAGTGAATCCTTTGGTCCTCAAAAGGTTGACAACATCAGCCATTATCTCCCCTTGCTTCTTCTTACCCTCTTCAAGATCTTTTATTTTATTGTTCTGCATTTGTGTTTGTTCCTTTTGTGTCTTTATTTGCATCTCAAGGCGCTTCACGTAATCATTTGTTTCAGCATATATGGTAGTGGCTCTCCTAATAGAGGATGAAGGTCTCATGCCAAGTCCCTTCACATAGCCAGACCTTGGCTTTAGGACTTTGATTGATAGCTCTTCTGTAGTCAAAGGGGTTGATCCTGGCTGTGAGAGGTGATCAGCCTGTGTCTGTATCATATTTTCCTATCAAATATAAAAAAAATTAAATAATTATTAGAAAATTAAATAAGATTATAACAAATAGTATTCTAAAATTTTGTTAATAAAAATTGCAATATATACTCACATAATTACACTGAGCTTGAGATGAGATCCACTCATGTGTTTTCTCATTATAGTGCGTTTCCTTGTACAACTCTGCTAGATCAGGTAGCATCTTCTTTTCTCGTGCCTAATTCGATAGACCAAATATTCAATAAATAAAGCTAAGAATCTAATATAATTCTGAAAGTGCAAGGATACGTACCAGTTTTTCTACTCTAACAGGGATTGACCTAGAACCACACCTATGTTTTGTATACATCCTTTCTCTGTTCGCGATGTTGGCCTTTGATTGTTCCTATAAGGAAGAATGACCAATATAACAATGAAATGTATCATTAGTAAGACAAATATGTTGGCTTTTGATTGTTCCTGTAAGGAATAATGAACCAATATAACAATGAAATGTATCACTAGTAAAACAAATTTAATGGTTGATAATAAAGAAATTGCATTGTTCCTCTCTATCATTTTCCTATATATCATTTCAACTTAAAAGATATTTCAAATTATTCACTAGTTTCATTCAATTCTGTGAAAAATAGATTAGAGGACTTGTTGAGATTTCATCATAAGATGGTTTTTCTGGGTGAAAAAAGAAAAACGAGTAATTTACACCGTTCACAAATAGGGGGCATATAACCATGGGCAAGATAGATTATGAAAAAATCCATTTACATTTCACAAGATATGGAATAATTACTGATACCAAACTCATAACCCTTTCTTTCTTCCGCAACTCTATCAAATCTAAAGTTCTGTCTCAATACCCTACATTAGTTACTTAGCTAGTTGCTTACCATTATCATGAAACTTCAGACCAAACCCAAGAACAAACAGAAAATTAATACAATCATAGAAACTGAAATCTTAGTTCTTTATTCTATGATGTGAAAGATGCACTTTAAGGAACCATAAATTAATCTCCTATTATGCGAGCCTTCCAATCCATGTTTAATAGTTTCCCTTTCTCATTTTTCCACTTATTTGGTTTTTATTATGTTCCACTTACATGCCTAGAAGATAAAGGGAAAAGAATACATATGGAATTTCACAGCAAATTGATTGTGTTCTTTCTAGTTGTTTTAGAATCTCTCCCTATTCTAATCAAATTCTTTCTTCGCTAATATAATAAAAATGATGAAAATGTTACCAGAAATTCTTTAGTGTTCCACTTTTTATCAATAAGATCTATCCACTTGGTAGGATCGACATTCTTCGGTGCGTGGTTTCTTGCATACTCCTCCCCTTTAACCTCCTTCAGCTCCATGAATTGTTTGTGCAACCTATAGGTATGGTTACTCAATCTCCGACCAAATTTTGTGTTCATTGCCTTCTCTATATCAACAGGGTCTCCTTGTAAATCAAATTGATCCTGCAAAAAATAGATAAGTCATAGATAATTCTTATAAAAAATAAAATAATTACAATAAATCATTAAGATTTCTAACCTATTATAAAAATGAGTAAAATCTCCTATAAGTAGACAACAAACTTACATTCAAGCGTTGAAACATCGCCTCCTTAACGGAGGCATCAACATACTTCCACCTACGAACACTTGGATCTGGTAAACGAGTTCACACTTCTACACCAATCTTTGAGGCTAGTTTTGAGGCATAGTCCCCTACCGGTGCACGAAATTCTGGAGGGATAGGCACGCTAAGCTTTCCATCTCTATCAACAAGGCCTTGAACCTCTTTGCCTCGAGTCGGGCCACGAGCACGCTTAGCAGCTGATATTGTGAAGCCATAATATTGAAATAGTATGTGAACAAATTTAATTAAGATCTCAAATCAATGTAAATAAAGAGTGTGTCTTACCAATAGTATTACCAGCAGTCACCTCAAGTTGAGGCTCCACATTAAGAGGTGGTGGCGGATTGCTAGTCACCTCAGGACGTGAAGAGGTATCCCCCTCTTCTAATGCGTAGGTCAATGCCTCATGATGAGATTGTGAACGGGCTCTTGATGGTATCTCTAACAGCTGAATAACATAATAAAATATGAATATATGTACAAAGATATACATGTCTATGAATTGAAAGTAACAAGAAAGAATATATTTCACAATGAATAAATGTATAGTACCTCATGCTCAAACGAATCATAGGATTCAGTGTCACTGCCATCTTCAGCCTCTGACGGTCGATAATCTTCGTTATTTTCCTCAATTGGTATTTGTTTTTCCTTCCTCAATTTCTTATGTTGAACTATAGCCTTCGAACAAGTTGTTATATTCTTCACTCCTAGAGCATTCATTCTCTCACGGTTTTTATTAATATTCTTCATTCTTTGTTTCTCATAGTTCGTTACCTTCTTAGTTGCGGTACTTGGTTTGGTCAATTGCTTTTTTGTAGCGTCCATTTTGCCCAACTATAAAGCATAATTGAACATTTTTTTGGTGGATACGCATAATTGAACATTAAGATGTAAAGAAAAGATAATTATATATTTCAATACATAAAGCATAAAGCAACAACAATCTCAACAAGTGGATATGTCATATAGGCTCTAAATCATTGAAATATGGCTAGAGTGATATGGATGATTTTTGTTTTTACCATTTACTTATCATAGAACAAATTAATTACAAAGCCATCAGACACACAATATGATCAATCAATGATAAACCTACATAACAGTGGATGAACCCCACAACTGAAATTCAACTACATTAATTAAGAACAATGTTCATATAGAAAGTGCAAAATAACTACAAATCCTAGTCTACATCAAGATCCATATCGTAATCCACATCAGGTTTGTCACACTCTTCATTTTGTTTGTCAGCTCTATTCTCTATCATTGTTTCATCAGATGACCTAACCCTTGTGACAACTTCTGCTTCAACACCATCTCTATAACATTGAACATTAGGGCCGATGTCAATTGGAACAACATCGGTAATATTTTCTTGTCGGAACACATCGTTTTCTTCTAGTTCATGTAATGATTCTCCATCACCTACCTCTGGTACATCAAAGACACCCCTATGTTGCACTCGTTGAACGACTTGCCAAGGTTGTCCCCATTTGGTATCATTTAGGTAAAAGACTTGCTTAGCCTGGCTAGGCAAGATGAAAGGGTCGTGTTGATACCACCGACTTGTGACATCAATACTTGTGCAATAATCATCGGTTCGCAATGTTCTACTTCGACCTGTGTTTCCTGTGTTGTACCATTCACACTGGAACAATACAACTTTGTTATGACACATGCACTCCAATTCCCAAACATTGCACAAGTGACCATAAAATTCATGTGTCACTCCCTCATGATCCCCTTCCGTAAGCATACCACTATTCTAACTTTTACGGCGATTGTCTACTTCTTATAGCGACCCCGGTCTTTTCCCTTTTGATTATTGTATCCGGACTTGGGTTCCGTTTATTCAGTCATTGTATATTTGTTGTTGTCGTCCTTTATTTTCTCATTTGGAGTTATAGGATATGTTGGGCAGGTTTGTTTCAGGTTGGTTGGGTTCGTAAACCTAGTGTTGCTGTCCAGTTTTTGGGTTGGTCGCTCGAGCCAGGATTTGGTCGCTCGAGCGAGGTTTGTTTTTGTGTCCTCTGGCTCGATCCAGATTTTCTTCGCTCGAGCGAGCGACTGCGTCTGGTATAGACCTGAGGGCAGTGCTTATTCGCTCGAGCGAGTTTTTCTTCGCTCGAGCGAGCATTCTGTCGCTCGAGCGTGCTCCAGGGTTGCAGACCTGAAGCATTGCATTCTTGGCTCGAGCGAGCTTTTCCTCGCTCGAGCGAGGTTTTCGTGTGTCTTGTTGCTCGAGCGACCAAGTCTTCGCTCGAGCGAGCCTGCCAGGTTTAAATAAGCAGCAGCGTGTTTCTGATCAGTTTTTCATACACTTTCAGATTCCAAAACCCAAGTTACGAGTTCTCTCTCCCTCTACACACCTTCTCTCTTAGGATTGATCTACTTAGAGTGAGTTTCTACCTTAGATCCTTTATTTAAAAGATAGAGTGAGTCGAAGGCTTCCATTTAATCTGAACATTTGGTGATTTGGAACACATTGGAATTTGGGTATTTATCTCTGTCTTCTCCATTCGGGTTATTTTCTTCGAGGTAGGGATTTCCTACTCCATTTTATATGTTTTGTTCTAAGTTTTGGTATATTGATATGTTGGGGTTACTTTGATAATTTTGGAAAAAACCCTAGTTGTATTAATTAATTAATTTGTATAATTAATTTAAGGGAATTGGGGAATTTGGTTAAATTCATGAAATTTGGAAATTTATTGATTAAATGGTGTAGTTGGATAATGTAAATCACTCGCCTATTGAATTGTTGGTATATTTATTTCCAAGTCTAGAAATAACTGTTTTGGGCTATCGGTGGAGGATAGTCGTGCTTGTTGTAGACACTGCATGTGGATTAGGGATAACTGAAACTAATCATTGATTAAGTCATCAATTTTGACTGCTGAATTAATACAGACATTATGTGTATTGATTGTGTGTTGTATATGTTATGTGTTTGCACACATTGTTTTGTGTGGGAGGAGATAGGGGATGTACTCCACGGTTTAGGGGAAGATAGGGGATGGACCTCTAAACCGGATTTTGTTTGGGAGGAGATAGGGGATGGACTCCATTAGCATCACTTTTATGTGTGCTTATTTATATTGAAGTGTTTTATTGATACAGCACTAAAATGTGTATCAAACTGGAAGTATGAAGTGATTTGATTTGAGCCTGAGTCTCAATTGTTTGTTGACATTGGAAGAATGTGAATATGATGTATATATAGTTCACTGTTGTAAGTTTGGCCAGGTTCTGAGCCATATTGATAATGTTGGAAAGTAAAACGTGTTTTAGACATTAGTGTCATGAGACTGTATAATGATGTAATTGATTATCTTGGTTAACCATCTATTAAATACTAATGCTTTATTCAATGCTTATATTTGGTTTAGTATATTTCTACTGGGCTGTGGCTCACCCTTTATGGGAACATCATTTTCAGGTCCAAGTGATAAGCTACCTCCCAGGACTTAGCTTGGAAGGATTTGGATTTTGAAGACTATCTTTAGTTGTTTGTTTTTATTTGATAAATAATCAAGCCTAGGGCTTTATTTGTATTTGAGTTAGAACTCTTATTTTGTGTCCAAGTGTTGGCTTGGAAAGATGTAAGCCCATAGGGCATTTAATTTGATGTTACATGTAATGTTTTTATTTAGTAATACTCTGATGAATGAATTAATAAATTGTTTTCTTTAAATAATGCATGTTGATGATATACATATAATGGGTTTATTTTGAGGGCGTTACACTTCTCTTGTACAAAACCGTACGCCATTGATTATGCAACCTGAGTACTCTCTTACTAGCAAATTTGGGCCATTTGCTAATGACCATAAATCATTGGTTGCTTCTGGTGACTTTTCTTCTCTCAATATATTTATCTACATTCACATATAACGTACATTAAGATAGTAAAAATAAATTAATAAATGATCAAATCTTATACAAATTTTTAATCATGTCTTAAAATTGAAAATGCCCTACCCGCTCTTTGAACCACTTGGGAAACTCTTGTTGTTGTATACGGGTTATGCCTTGGTCAGATGGAGTTCGTAATAGATTTTTGTGTATCCTACTCAAAAGAATGTGATTATTATGCACTGCTAACTACATTAACAAAGCTAAGAATACACATATTTAAATGAAAAACATGCTCTAGATACTTCTCTATCTCGGGGCTATTGATCAACAAGAACCAATGAGCCATATCACGATATTCTTGTGACATATCAGCATCCCTTGTGATTAGGCCAATAGGACGGGCAGTTTCTATGAATACAGTTAACCCTTTGCGATGTTCGCCACGATCTTGATTTCGTTCGAGTCGATTATGCACTGTTTCGATCCCATCAACATATATTGAACAAAAAGTAATGCACTCTTTGACAATGTAAGCCTCTGCGATTGAACCTTCAGGTCGAGCTCGATTTGTAACAAACTTTTTTAAAGCTCCAAGAAACCTTGAAAAGAGAATTAGTTAAGAGCAAGGTTACACATGCAACATATAATTACGAACCTTTCAATTTAACAATTACCTTTCAATCCGGTACATCCATCGATATTGCACCGGTCCTCCAAGAATAGCCTCACGCGGAAAGTAAATGGCCAAGTGAACCATCACATCAAAGAAGGCTGGAGGAAAGATCTTTTCAAGCTTGCATAATATGTGTACTATACGTTCCTCTAATTTCTCAAGTTCATTACGACGCAGTGTCCTTGAGCACAAATCCTGGAAAAAGCTACCTAAATCAAATAGTGTTTTACTAATCTCTTTGTCTACGTAACCACGCATCCCAATTGGAAGAATCCGTTGTATGAGTACATGGCAGTCATGACTTTTCAAGCCTGTTAATTTACCATTTCTCGCATTCACTGATCTTGATATGTTTGCAGCATAGCCATTCGAATACTTCACTGATTTCAAGAATTCAAAGAAACCCTCCCTCTCTTCAGGGGTCAATGAAAAGATTGCCCTAGGTTTGACATAAGTTCCATTAGGACGACGTGTTAACCACAACTCTTTCCTTATACCCATATCTTCCAAGTCCATCCGTGCTTTGTCAGTGTCTTTGTTCTTTCCATCAATGCCTAACATAGTTCCAAAGGTATTTTCACTAAAATTCATCTCGACGTGCATAACATCAATGTTGTGTCGAAGCTTCCGTTTCTTCTAGTATGGTAACTCATACAAGATGCTTACCTTTGTCCAATTTGGTGCCTGATGGGGTCTTTTCTTATTTCTTGGATGCTTCCCATATGTGACACCTGTCACTCTATCCAATTGCTCTAATATCTTTTCCGTTGGTAACTTTAAAGATATCTTTCGCTTCTCATGCTTACCATTGTAAGCCTTACTCTTTCGCCTTTCGGGGTGGTTTGGAGGCAAGTAGCAT